TTAGTAGTAAGTAGTAGTAGTACGTACCGTACCTACTAGTAACGTAAAGTAAAGTAGTACGTCTTGTAGTACTATACCTACTATATATATATATATATATATATATATATATATATACACACACACACACTTCATTAAATGTTCCCTAGACTCAGACTTGCCCAAGTTGGACAGCATGACTCGGCTTCAGGACCTTGGTGTGTCTGAGCCTGAGCCCATGTTCGCCTTTTTAAACACTATTTACAATATCAAATGGATGGTCCATATTTCCCCAAATGAACCATGCCCCACTCGTGTGTATTGGTACCTCGAGTATAATATAAAGATTCCAACAAAAAATGGAGGAAAGGGGCATAGATATGGCTGAAATGGATGAAAAAATATTTATAATTGAAAATGGAGGGAACAGATGTAGTTATGACTGAAAATAGAGGAAATATAAACTAAAATGGGGCAAAAAATATGGAAAGATAGCTTACCTCTCCTTCTTGTGCTAGTTGTTTAAGGAGATGAAAGGTGTGCTCATTTTCTTCCAAATTGTTGATGACAGCTAGCCAAACTTGTGAGGCGAGCTCGTGGGCCTTTTCTCTTGATTTTCCGCAAGCTATAAATTGATCTGAGCAACAATAAAAAAGGGTGTTAAGGATAAGAAAATAACATCTAAAGGAGACAGGAAAATAATTATTCACCAAAGCAGGCTCAGGTCTACTAAATTCATAAATTCCATTCTCTCATTTTGCATTCCTATCTATCTTCCAATTTCTCATGAGGCATCTGCATTTTTATTACTAATTTATCTTAAAAAGTAATAAATATTTATGCTTAAAAAATTTCAAAACAACTGAGCTATGCCCTATCTGATTCTTTAGCTAGCTGACTCCAAGGTCTGAGTACACAACACTCACAAATTAAATAATATCACATGTTCAGAAATAAAAGGAAAAAAGACAAACCTATTATTGTTCCATGAAGTATCCCAGAAGGAGGAGCAGTTGAAAGCTCAAGTTGCTCCTTTAGAAACAAGTAGGTGTGACCAGCAAGCTCATCTATCCCATCATCAAATGCAAAAAAATGTTTGCTTACATACAAGGCAGCATATCTCCTGAAAATGAACAAAACACAAAATTTTAGAGTTGAAATATTCATAATTTACTGCGAAGTGTATATAGCATTGATTTGTTCAGAGTGCATGAGAAGCAAACCGTCTATGCTCTTGTTTTGTTTATTGCGATACCCAAATAAATCTACTTAGATATAAACATCCAACTAAATACTAGACTAGTTGTCAACACATTTTCTGAGTCATTTTAGAAAATTAATTTGCATTGGGGAAGATTTTATTTTTATTTTTTGATATGTTAGGTGTGACGGTAAAAGGCTCGGGTAGCCAGCCAGAGCACGGGTTCAAGTCCTGAGAGTGATTACTTTGTGCATAAGCCAAAGGTTAGGACCGTTTCTAGTCCACCCCTCCCGGGACCCTGCTTAGGGACCAGCACCGAGTTACGGCCCTTTACGGCCCCGTTTTTTTTTTTTTTTATATGTTAATAGTGGGAATGGAGGGCGGGACGTTATGTTGACGTATCCGCCCCCCTAACCACCCGTACTTCCCACTCTTTGCTTATCAATGTGGTGGTGGTCAACACAGCAGTGTTGCTATCAGCTTTTGCAATGGACTCTGTATTGAAAATGCTGTTCCTAAGGCAACTTTTACAATATGAAAGGAAAGACCTCATGAGATCTTGTGTTTTTTAATTCATATTGTATGGTTTTACTATATAGGATGCTTGCTAACAGTGTTAAGAAGGGGAACTAAAATGATGGGAAATGAAGCATTAATCATATGAATATTTAAACAAGGTCGAAGGCAAAAAGAGAGACGTGAAATTGTTAAAATATTATCAATGAGGGTGAACTTCGTAGGGCAAAAATTATACTTCTAATCGGAATAAGTGTCATACTCAAAATTTTCATGCATTTGGGCTGTATCCTAAGAAATATTGGGGAGATAGAACAGGACTATGAAGAGCTTAGAAGATTAAATTTTTAGCAATCAAATTTAGTATGATGGACTGCTTTACTCATTTCACCAAAAAAAGGTCATAAACATCATCATCATCATCGTCATCATCATCACCCAAGCCTTATCCCAACTATTTGGGGTCGGCTACATGGATCTTGTTCCTCCATTCTTCTCTATCAAGGGTCATATCCTAAGTAAGACTCAAAGTCATCATTTCTTCTCTTACTACTTCTATTCATGTCCTTTTAGGCCTTCCTCTTACCCTTTTAAAACCTTGAACCAAATCGCACCTCCTAATTGGTGTTGTATTAGGTTTATGCTGCATAAAAAAGGTCAGAAGCATAAAAGGATGAAACTATGACTAGTTTTACTCTAGAATAGAGTTGGCAATGGGCTGGGTAGCCTGGAAGGGCTAAGCCGAGGCTTGGGACAGCACATGCGGCCCATAGGGCTGGGTAGATCATGGCCAGTCCGACCCAACCTGGCCAAATCTAAAGAAAGGGCCTGGGCTCATCCTTTCCAATGGGCCGGGCCATGGCCAGGACCAAAGCCTGGGCTAGGGCTATGGCCTGTCGATCCTGTGTCCATACCCATCACCTGCACTACTCCACACATCTCCAGTGTACTCCAAGCCTCTTCTCCTTCTTCGTTTCTGGTATCAGTTTGAGTCTAAAGCATAACCTAACTTATATATATCTTGCATCCACTAAGCTCGGGGAGAATTTGTTTCCCTCATAAAGGGCAAACACCTTTTACCCACTGTTTTGGTCTAAATGTGACACATTGAAGAGATGGTTTCTGCCCAAATTTCACAATAAACAACCAGGGAAGTCAACAAGGACAATGCAACAATGTCTAAGTTGCTGAATTGAATATTAACATTTGTTAGAATTTTCCAAATTCGAACAATAGATCCAACCTTTAGACTCATTTCCAATAAAAAAATCTCACGCCAACTTGCTCAAAATTTAAAATAAAAGATTGGTGTGCAGTTGATCCTAAAGTTTTTTTGTTTAATAGATGCTAGAGAATTTAGACTTATCGAGAACATTAACTTAGACACAAAATGACAATTGGAAGGAGGAGGAGACCAACTTTCGAGTTCCGGATCAATTTCAAGTCTCATATCCTCACAATAGGAATGACCTTTCAACCATGGGTAGTCTCTAGATCAATAGATTTCCCAGCATGAAAAACCCATCTACATGGAGGAAGAGATACTCTCTACCAAATGTTTAGGGGCAGAAAGACTGGAAAGATATCAGCGCCAAAGAAATATGGAACTTCAACCATATAGGATGCATAAATGAGGTCTAAATATTAGCAACTTTCAATTATTTCAAGCTAATTTGCGACCCAAAAAACTACTCTATCATCAGCGTTCCTCAATCTAAGATGACCGTTGATTTTAATTGCCAAAAACCTTCTAACATGCTAAACTTCTATAGGAATGCTAATTCGAACCATATCATCATTATCATTATCTTTGCCTTTTCCCAACTAATTGGAGTAGGCTACACAAATCCTGGTCCGTCATTCTGCTCTATTAAGGGTCATATCCTCAATATAGCTATAAGTCCCAATATCTTTTTTCACTACTCCAACCAGGTTCTTTTGTATCCCTTGCCCTTTTTAAACCTTCCACTTGAACTAACTCGTACCACCTAACAGGTGCTGTATTGGGTCTGCGCCACACATGGCCAGCCCACGTAAGCCTACTTTCTCATATCTTATCATTTATTGGTATCACACATAAATTCTCCCAAATATGTTCATTTTGAATTCTATCCCTTCTCGTCTTGCCACCACCACCATCATCATTATAGCCTTTTTCCAATTAATTGGGGATGGCTACACGAATCCTGGTCCGCCATTTTGCTCTATTAAAGGGCATACCCTCATTGAGGCCATAAGTCCCCACATCTTTTCGGACTACTCCAACAACGTCCTTTTGGGCCTACCCCTTACTCTTTTCAGTCCTTCCACTTGAACTAACTCGCATATCCTAACAAGTGCTATTTTTGGTCGGCGCCACATATGGCCACCCCACTTAAGTCTACTCTCTCTCATTTTATTGCCTATTGGTGCCACACCTAAAATCTCCCGAATGGATTCATTTCGAATTCTATCCCTTCTTGTCTTGCCACTCATTCATCTCAACATCCTCATCTCTGCTACACTCATTCTATGGGTTATTGTTTTTTGTCTGCCCCATAGAGCAAAGCTGGTCTCACAGCTGTCCTATAGAACTTGCTTTTTAGCTTCATTGATATGTGGTAATCACATAGCTCTTGTTGCACATCTCCACTTCGCCCACCCAGCTCTAATTTGTGCGACATCTTCCTCAATCTCTCTATTTTCTTGGATTATCGACCCAAGATAGCAAAAGTGCGGTCTTTTTTTGTACTTTCTTATCGTCAATCTTAACTACTTCCTCTTCTCTGCTTCTATTATTACTAAACTGGCATTCCGTATACTTTGTCTTAGTCTGGCTAATTTTAAAACCTTTAGATTCTAAGGCATCCCTCCAAAGTTCCAACTTTGTGTTGACGCCGTTTCGGGTCTCATCGATTCAAACTATATCATCTGCGAACAACATGCACCACGGTACCTCATCCTGTAGGTGCCTAGTTAAGTCGTCCATAATTAAGTCAAAGAGGTACGGGCTCAATGCTAAACCTTGATGTAGACCTATTGTCACTGAAAACTCACTTGTCTCTCCACTAGTTATTTGTACACTAATTAGTGCTCTATTGTATATATCTCTCACCAAGTTGATGTAGTGTCTAGAGACTCCTTTCTTTCCCAACACCTACCAAATCAAATCTCGAGGTACTTTATCATAAGCTTTCTCTAGATTAATAAACGTCATGTGGAGGTCTTTTCCCTTCGCCCTAAACTTCTCAATTAGTTGCCTAAGTAGGAAAATAGCCTCAGTTCACCTTTCTGGCATAAAACCAAATTGGTTTCAAATACACTCGTTTTATGCCTTAGTCGTTGCTCAATCACTCTCCTAGAGCTTCATAATATAGCTCATAAGCTTGATTCCTCGATAGTTCGTACAAATCTGTATGTCTCTTTTGTTCTTGTAAATGAGTATCACAATACTTTTTTTCCATTTGTCTGGCATTTTCTTTGTTCTCAACTCCTTATTGAACAGCTTCATCAGCCAGTCAAAGCTAATCTCCCCCACGCACTTCCAAACCTCTATCGGGACACCATCTGGTCCTAAAGCCTTTCCTATCTTCATCATTTTCAAAGCTTCTTTCACTTCCGACATCCTAATCCTACGAATGTATCTATAACCTCCTGCCTCATTTGTATCAACAATTCCTTCTATTGCTATGTTCCCATTGTCTTGCCACCATAGTGAAACCTATTTGTCACTCTAGAATGAAGCCACTGATCAAAACAAGCAGAGCAGATGCAATAAAAATCTGAAACTAAGGCAAACCCAACAAATAAACTGCATTTTGCCCACCATAGAAAGGTGACCTGAAAACTAGCATGGAATAATATACAAAGAAACATTACTATCCCTATGCATATATTATAACACATACCTGGTACAACACACTTTCAGTTGCTCCATGATCTTAACTTATTGAGGAAAGGTATAAGTCCATTAGCAGGAACATTGCTAGACTATGCAGTGAAATTGCCAAAACTGAAGTGATTATTTAAAACATTTAATACCTAGGGAGTATCCTCGAGGCTCTCTTTCAGAAACTCCAACTTAGTACACATTTTACAATAGGATAGTAAGCCATTTTTTGTCACCGTCCTATTTTAGGACCTCAAAATTTTGATGAATCAACCACATATATTTTAACATAAAGGTCTGAGCTCCGAACATAAGCACAATCCTCATCTCAGTAACAAGGGGGCTTCGATCGGATGTCAGTAACTCATAACTAATGTCAGAGATGCTCACAAGTACAGCCAGATCAAACAAGGACACAAGAACGAAACCAATATTGGGAAACATATATAAAACTTGTTTCTCTCTATTAAAACCCCGAGTTTCTTGGGTATGCTCTTCATCTGATGTTTTGCTAAAGCCTCCAGAACTTCTAAACTTTCAAATTAGTCATTCTGTCTCACTATAATCAGCAAAACTCTCATGGTTTCAACTTTCAAGAAGAAGAAGAAATATCGAAAGCAGTAAAGTTACCCAACAACCCATGAAGATAGCTATGAATTAATATGGGATCTTCAACGTCACCACGTGGTTGAGGGGCCTGAAATATCAATTCTCATAGTACATACAAATGCATAACATAAGCAAATTAAAACCCATAACATGCACTAACATGGAAGAGACTAAAAGAAGATGAAGTTGAGAAACTATAAGCAAGTCAAAGCAGCAAAAAGGCCAGCTAATAGCATGTGAAACCTCAGGAATTCAGAGTTTTCTTTTTCTTGATGATTAGAGGAATTCACGATTTAAAGAAAAATCTCAATAATTTAGAAGAAACAGATTCTTAAAATCTCAGAAATTCACAATGAGAAAGAAAAAGCTCAGGAGTTCAGAAGAAACAGATTCTTATAATCTCACCTTTTGCTTAAACCACGAGGAATAGGTCCCGGCCATCGCTTCCCTTGTCCAGCCAAAGGCCAGGTCCGCACAAGAGCAGTTTGCCACAAGCACTCTCCTCGAAATAAATTGGCCCACTGTTTCTTCACACATGATATTACCGCCCACTCGGAGATAGGTAGGCGAATGAAGATCTCTATAAGAAGTTGATCAGGAAGCATGTCAAATGAGCTTTCCATCATTTTCTCAATCTCATGACTTTCCACCATTTCTTGGCCAATTGAAATGTCAACTGTATTCATAATCTCCTCTCTCTCACACAATTTGGGGACTAGGCCGAACCCGACCAGCACAGTAATATTTGGCGTGTAAATGCACGATATTTTTTTACCATGGGAGCATACCTTAATTAGAAACACGGGACCACAACCGTCGATCACAGGTTGGTTTTCTCATAAGTTTCAGGGTCCACTAAGAGCAATAACAGAATTTTTTCTATATATCATGCAATCGTCATCCACTATCAAACCAAACACATCATATACATGCATTGCGGCTGAGGCTGAGCTGCTACCCATCCACTCTAGAGAGAGAGAGGAAGAGGGCAACGTAAGTTTTCTTTCTTGCTAATGTGAAAAAATACAGTCTGATGTTGCTAAGGTACTTTGCCAAGGATTGAGGTTCCAAAAATTCATATGGAAGTGAATGAAAACCCCAAATTCTTATCTCCAAATAAATCCAAAATTTCAAAGAACTGGAATACCAACATTCTCAAAAGCCTACATGCGACAAATCAATAAACAGACATCATAATACAGTTCAAATAAACTAACAGCAACATCTTCTAGAAGACCACAACACATACTCTGAAAATTTGATCAATAGGCAAGACAATTATGCTTGAACAGACAAGAAAACCAATATATTCTAGGACACATATATGGATATATGAGCTAATAATAGAGGTTAAGAACTAACAATCCATGACAAGCAAACATATATTTTAGTTCTCTGCACTAACTGCTACAGAAAATAGTCACTCTGCAAAAGAGGTAAACAAGAAATAGGGGAAGGAGAAACGATTGGAACTAATTTTTTGGCTAACAACTGATGTTTGGTGGCCCAATCTAGTTCTAAAGAAGTGAAGGAGAATTTGGATAAACTTCTAGAGAGAGAGATACAGACAATTAAACAAAATTTTGTGTGCATACTGGATCCAGCAAAAGTCGATGGTTGAAAAACAGCCCATCGATGAACAAAAATACACTGATTTTGTTTATTTATTATTGTCACCAAAGAATAGAGATCAGAGCTTCCAATAGAAATAGAAAATAGAGTCAGACAAGTAAACACACAAAACCCTCCAATTATGCAAACAAACAACCAAATTTCTCACCCACCTATCCAGTTGCGTTAGAAAAGAAAAACCCAAAAACCAGAGAGAGAGTTCAGTTAATTTGGACAGAGAAATAAACCAGGAAAAAAAACAGTAATTTGCAAAATTCCGGAACATTAAACGTTTAAATTGAAAGTTTAATGGATTCTACAAAATCCATGCTCGACATTTTATAAAAATAAATACAAAGAGAAAAAGAAATAATTACAGAACGAAATGCAATAAAACAAAAGGGAAGAAAACGTACCAGTGAAAATAACCTCCGAAGTGTAGAGTGGGGAGTAAAGAGGTGACACAAGCGGATAAATGCAGTCCCGCGAAAATAATAAATTACTCTTTGATTGTAGTAGGGTTTGATATCTTAAAACGTAGAAATAAGGTCCACCTCAATAACTAAGAAAATAAGGTGTGGTTCGCATGGTAACGTTAAACAAGCAAAATAAAGGCAGCTCTAAATTTTGGGTTTACCTTTTGGTGTCACGATTACTTACAACCGTCTGATATGGAATCTATTGGCTTGGATGTGTCATAACATTTGAGAAAATTTCTTCAAGTATATGGAGGTCACAATTACTGACACCCATGGGATGCGATGTAAAATATGATAGCTTGAGTGTGTTACAAAGTTCGAAAAATTCTATTAAAAGTTTGAGCTTTGTCAATGAAATAAATGCAGCCATCCAATTTTACATCCAATAGTCAAGATTAATTGTGACCATCTTGTACCAATAGTAAATGGTCTCATTATATACTTTCCTTTAAATTTTAACATAAGATATAATTTTAATGTAAAAAATTCTTAGATGACACAAGAATCTATTCTCATCTCTAATTATAAATATTAAAATTTAAAAATAATTTAAATCAAATAGATCTATAAACACATGAAAATCTTGAAAATTGACCATCTAAATAATATGTTACAAGATACATTATTTTTTGACTCAAAATTTTTTTTTATTTCCACATATCTTGATGTTAAGACTATCAATTAGAGGGTTTTCCAAAATCAAAATAACTTTTTATAATGAATTTTTGAGGTGTACTTTAATTCTATAGTTACAACCTTATGTAAACTTTTTCCTTGAAAAATATAGTGCACTCCTCTACTCACAGGAGTAATACCCAATGTTGTGGGGCAGAGTTGAGATTAACAAACAAGCAAGTACGAGACACGGCCTTCATCGGTTGGTTTGAGGAATGTGATGACTGTCCCTACTACTAATCTAAGGGGTTCCTTTAAGGAAGATATAGGTCCTCGCTCACAGTAAATAGGCTGGCTATTGTTGAGGTTGAAAAATGTGGATAATGTTTTGATAAGGCTGCACTACTATCACAGTAAGTAAAGCCTCACCCCAAAACTCACATAAAATTGTAGCTCTGGCGTCAAAAAATTCTCAAATCGATCATCTTGACATTGACTTTTATGGTTGTAATACAAAGTAAGATTTCAAACCTTAAAAATAATGTATATCATAATACATTATCTACACCGTCCATTTCCAAATGGTTATGAATATGTAAGATCCATACCTTTTTTGAGCTACAATTTTCATTGTCAGTGGTGAAAATTAATTTTGGAGCCATCATAGAGATTTCTCATGCCAAAGTATTTATCGGACGAGGTTTCAAAGTGATGCTTTACTTCTTCTTGTTTTTAGTAAGTCCCGAACCTTATAGAAAATTGTATCCTATAAATACTTACCCGAGTTTCTGATTATGACGAAAATGCCATTGTTTTTGAGCCATCTTTCCTCCTTTCCTAGTCTCTAGCCCCAGGTTTCTTTGATGGGTGAAGTGAGGTTTGTATAAGGTACCTATCCTGTACTATACAAGTAAGCCACATCTCTACTGTACTATACAAGTAAGCCACATCTCTAAATCTTATCTGACGATGTAGTTCGAGCTTCAAACCCTTACGATGATTTGAAAATTTATATTCAATCTTAACTATGAAATTTAAAATTCTAAAAACAGGACAAATCGATCATATATATAAATACTTGAAAATATTTAAAATAGATGATCATGATAACTAGTTACATGATGTAATATTTTTAAGACTTAAAATTATTCTTTTTTATATCCATACATCTTTAAGTCGGGATGATCAATTAGAAGGTTTTCTAATTTCAAAATGCTCTTTTTGCTGGATTTTTAAAATGCTTCACTTCTATAGTATAATTCATATAATTCATTTTTATTGTCTTAGATATTGTTGACACAACAATCCAACGCACGCCCCTTATCCTTGGTGGACCCCAACAAATTAGAGCCTTTCACTTGCAACCCCCAGCTTTGGATGGTGTGGGAGTGAGTTTGAGAAGAAAGAGGGTTTGGTTTTAGAGTGACGATACTTTGGATCAATGTTGTCATATTTGTTTTGGAGTCTTATATATAAATTAGATATTTATATATAAAATATATTCAAACAAGAGGAAAAAATAAAAAATAAAAAAATACATTTATATAGCTATTTCTCTGCTGGCCGAATTAAACTCAAAGCATACCTGAAGTAAACCGAAGCTGTCTGAATTTGACCAAAGCAGTCCGAAGCGGTCTGAATCTAACCGAAGTGGTTGCACTGGGCTTCTCTTCTCTTTGATTTATGCCTAAAATCCAAAAGCTTCGGCCGAAGCGAAACAAATTTATTAACATTGCTTTGGATGTTGTGGTAGTGCAATTGGGCGGAGAGAAATTGTGTGCTTACTATTTAGGTATTATATTTTTGTTTTGATCATTTCATATATAGCCATTAAGTTTGTTTCGCATGAAAAAAAATTATCAAATAATATTTTCACATGAAAGAGTTTCCTCATGTAATTAAGTAGGAATATTTTTATACAATTCACAGTTAATTGGTATGCAAATATTCTCATAAAAAACAATTTTTTCACTTGAAAATATTGTTCGAGAAATATCTTTATGCGAAGAAAGCAAAAATAGTTTGGAGGAAGATAGTGCCTAAAATTTTTAAGATGGAAAAGGTACTAAGATAAAAAAAAGTAAAATTTTTTATTTTTTTTCCCTCTCAAAAAAGAGAGAAATATGCTTTATTTAAACTAAATAACAAAAAAATAAAATTACAACATGTTTGGTTGTTATTCTTGGGAGTTGGGACCATAGATCAAGCAAATATCTTAAAAAAAAAGAAAAAAGAAAAAGTAATTGATATAGAAAGTCGGGTGGTAGTTTTGAAATAAATAAACAATAAAAAAAAATATGTGAGCATATCATAGACCACAAACGTCCCTTTCAAGCATGGTCCCTTGTCTTATGTGGTCATCATGTACACTAGCTTACCCACCTATAAAGTAAAAGGAACGGTCCCTAAAATTTTAAGAAAGCTGAAAAGGGAAGACGTAGGGTCACAAGAGACATAATCTATAATCCATTGAAAGAGCACGGGTGTACTGAAAGGGTAAGCATACCCCACATTGGTTGTGGTGTATGACACACCCATTATTTACATTTACATAATCGGGCACTCAATCACTTCGGAATGGAATCCGATTCTCCTTGTCCAAATAGAATCAACGCATAGAATCAAGTGGTTATGAGATTCTTTGGAACCAAATTTCCCCACCTCCCCTTAAAAAAAAAGAAAAAAATGAAAAATAAAGAACCCCTTGCCCCACGCCCTTGGGAAAAAAAAAACATGTTTTTAGTTGTCTTGAGCTTTGAGTTGGTTAGATGATTTTTTAAATACTAAGAGATTAAGCTGTAATAAGATTAACGATATAGAGTGCTGACAATTATAGAAACCAGATATTGGTTTTTCTATATTATGTAATACAAGATATTAAGTTTTTTATATTGAGTTTTCTATTTTGTGGGATTACTATTGTAGTAAAAATTTTCTTAAAAGACAAGAATCGTAAGTCTATAAAATCTTTGATAAACTAGAGTAATGTGAAATACTCGTTTACCTTCTGTAGATTTAGGCACTCTTGCCAAACCACGTATTTTTATGTTGATTTATTTTTTCTCTTCTTTTCTCTATTTTGTTTATTGCAACTTTAACGTGATATCAGAACAAACCACTCTATTGCTGGCCGTTGATAGTGAGAGAAAATCTGTTACAGCCTTGATCGATCATGTATATTGATGTAGTGGTAGCTCCAACGGGTTTCCCAGCGTCCCTTGCTTTCTGTTGACCTTCGGCCAGTTGTTTTTTCGTATCTGCAAAAACCAATTTCCTCGTGAGCCTTAGACGACCACTTACTGCCACTTGACACAATACAATTCCTCTCGCCCTCATATCTATTTCTTGGGTAAGTTAACGAGTGCAAAGGGTAGTCCACTGTGCATGAAGTTTATTGGTTTTCAACCTTTGGCAAGTTTTGTGATTTGCAAGGTTTTGACTTGCAAGTTTTTTGGTTTGCAAATTATTGGATCTTGGTTTGAAAATTATTATGAGGGTATTTTTGTTTTCGGCATGGTCACTAGTCCAATGTTTGTAAGATCCAATTTGAAGAAAAACTACCCAAGCTATTAGATACATGTTGGTGAATTCTAGGGAGAGAAACAATAGTGCTTATTGGGGACATCGGCTAGTTTTGATCGAGGCATCTTCTATTATTTTATCACCCTTGTCATTGATAAGATCAGTTATATGGTTTTTGTTATCTCTTTATAATGACAAATTCAGAAAATAACTCCAACATGAAACTTAGTATTGTTCTTTTGAATAAATTTAACTATCTTACGTGGTCGAAAGCTGCTTCTCGTTATCTTTTTGGAAAATTTAAACTTGGATACATAACTAATAAAAAAATCATGAATCTTTGTTTTAAAACCTCTAAAGTAAGTGTTGAAAAATATCCCCTGGATGATACTGAGAAATATGAAACAAACATACCTCAAAATAATAGAGAAGGTAGAGACCCCATCAGATCTATCGATCAAACTATAACTACTCAAACTCATCACTACAACTGTAATCATTATCATTAACCAAATAACAACAATGACTTTTCCTCCATACAAGATCCTTCTTCTCCATCCCGAACATAAGTAACCATTTTGCTTTTATGTCTTCCAGTGACACGTTTTTTTGAATAATAGACTCAGGGGCCACTGATCATATGACTGGTAGTTTACAATGTCTATCCAACCTAAAAAATAATGAAAATATGAACCCTATGTCTATCCAACTTAAAAAATAATAAAAATATGAACCTTATGTCTATTGCCAATAGTTCCTTGATTCTTATCCATGGTGTTGGTAAGGCCAATTTT